GGGACAAGCGGCAGGGCTAGCACTGCAGTCAGGCATGTTGTCAAGACATGCACTAGCTGGCCTGTCTCCACCAAATGAGAACCTCAGCAGCCCTGAGGTTGGGAAACCCTGCTGTGTGACAGCTCTGAGGTGAAGTGAGTGTCTCCTGCTGCCCCTTGGGTCTAAGGTCTCATTCTCCTCTCTACTCTGCCATCTAGCTTCCCTGTCATCAGTTTCTTTAGCAAAGATGAAAATCACTTTAAGAGCTGTTCAGTTCTCCAGGGCAAAGCCCTCATGGGGCTCCAGATACCAACATCTGGATGGAACTTTGTCCTCCGGCCAGCCTAGGACCTAGTGGATCAACCCTACCTCAAGAGCCGTCTGAGCAGTAGAGAAGCTAGTCCTGAGTTTCCTCTGAGATTGGCACCCATTTACAGGCTGCGGGAGAGTCGCCATCAGTGGTCCATCTACTTCTCTTCCTCATTCCCTCTATCCTAGCCTGGCACCCAGCCCTGTGTGTCTGTGTGTGTGTGGGGTGGTGTGTTCGCACATGTGCAGGCGCCGTGTTGTCTCCGTGGTGACTAGAGGTCTGAACATGCATTACAGCATCTGTGCAGATCTGTTCGTCTTTGATGTGTATTAGGTTCTTGGCTCTCTGGTAGAAGTCTGGAAGGCCTAAGTACTCCTGGGAAGTTCAGCTCATCAGAGCTTCTCAGGTCGGCAGGCCGATGATTCTATATGGGTAGTCTTAGTTTTAAGGACACCAGGCGTACAGTCAGCGCACGTGGCTGGAGTACTTGTGATTGGTCACTGTGGGCTGGAACTGGTGGTTCCATGGATGCTTGGAAATAATGGGTAATGCTTTTTGTGTTTCATGGTAAGCGGTGGGCTAAGGGCCAGGAAAGGACAGGGACCAGGGGCCCTGGGTGCAGAGCTGCTAAGACAGCTTCACACTGCCAGGTCATGCTCAAGGCCAGGGGTCTTTAGTAGAAACACAAACGTGAGAGACCTGCTGGGGTTGGAAACAAGGGGGTGTCTTGGACGTTGAAGGAGGCTGTGGGCGTCTGACCATTGGCAAAGAAAGGCTGGCCTCTGCTCCAGGCGCGTCCCTCTACCTGGAATCGAAAGTGAACTGTGCAGCGGCAGCACAGGGTTGCATGTATCTTGATAAGTATGTCAGGTATCGTACCGGCCCCCATAAGAGAGACCCTGCTACCTGAAGGGATGGTGCCATGTACAAAGAACATTTTAATTAATTTATTTATTTCTTTACACATAACTGAAAGTGATGTTACAGTACATAAGTTATTTACAACTGTGCAGTAATGTGTTGCAAAATAAATTATCTAGAAGGCAGCAAAAGTACATTGTGAATGTATATAAAACTGTACAGGTTTGCGGATACACTCTATAGGATTATTGGCTCTGTAGTGTTTCAAGTTACGTTCTCAGAAAGAGAAACAAAATGCCCAAGATTAAAGGAAAAATATACAAACCACGTGGATTTGACTCCATTAAAAACACTATCGGAGAGTCCTGGCTGCGTCCCTGTGTCCAGGCAGGCAGCAGCCGGACCCCTGCCGGCACCAGTGTCCAAGCCTGTCCCGGGGACCATGGCGGGACAGCACTTTCCTGCCTCTCTGACCTGGAGGTCACTGCTTATGCGAGGTGGACACCTTAGTCTATTTTCCATTGGTTGATCAGAATGGAATGAGGAATTAAAACACACACTCTTGCTCTGCGACTCCTCAAGTGCCCTGTCATCAGCTGGAAGAAAACCCAGAGGGCATGCCTGAGACAGAGCCACCTTGTCTGTGGCCACGGTCTCCTTGTCCCAAGGCCTGGCAAAGCTCTGCAGTGTCTGGGCCTCATGCTCCCCACAGCAACTGGTAAAAAGAGATGCATTCTACCTCACTGGCATCTGGAAGGGAGACATATGGCCAGGTGCAGTCTCTGGGCTCCTTCCACTTGATGGACGCGGTGCTCCCTCCTCCGCTGCCGGGACTCATCGGCAGCACTGGGCGACCTATATGGCCCTTGTTTGTGTCCTGTGACCTTCCTCTGAGTGTCATGCTGGCAATAGCACGAAGTCATCGTTGACGTCAACCATGGGCACGTAGAAGGATGGCACCTCATTTACACACAGGGATTTGTGCCCAGCAGGGTCCAGCTCCTGGGCCTTCAGCTGCCACTCCATCCTTTGCACGGCGTTGAGGGCCGCGGCCTCGTGCTGCTGCCGCATCAGCAGACATGTCTGTGGAGCACACAGGGTGAGAGGGATGGCCAGGCCCTGGCTTCCACCACTGGATTGTAAACCCACCCTGATTCTTAGCCCAGAACCTGGTTTATCTGCTGATGAGGCCCGGGTCCTCCTGGAGTCAGCAGATGGACCTCCCCCATTCTCACCATCAGATTGGAGTAACTCAGTCATACTGGAGGTCTGACCTTTAACTGCCCCATCTCCTACAACTCACCTTTGGGGGTTGTAGCTCTGCTTTCGTGTGTGTGTGTGTGTGTGTGTGTGTTTTCACAATAGTAATGACATTTAAAAGTATACACAGGGACTTGGATGGAGTGGTATATGTTTAGGACCAAATGAATCATTTTAAACATGGCACAGACAGTCCAACCAGCTCAGAGTGGTCTACTGTCATGTGACTGAACCTAAGTTAATGAAGTACAGTTATGGGTACCCGGTATGCTGGATTATCCCAATGAACACACTGCTCAAATCTGTAAGCGTTGAGTGACTAGAGTCATTTAATTGCTCGGTGAGGTGCACGATTTATGAGACTCGAGCCTGTGAGCCTGCTCAATGAAACTACCAGCGGTCTGTTTCCCACTCTACAGGGAGACAGAGCCTCCTCTGACCCAGCCTTGCATAGTCTTCTGAAGAACCCCATTAATCTTTTGGTTCATTTCACTAAGATCTGGCCATTTTATCTCCTTCCAGAATTCTCTTTAAAGAAATTTGAGGACTGGTTTGTTATCAAATATGGCTAACCTTTAATGTCTCGTCATAGTCTCTGTCTCCTAGCCAACGTTCTGGAGAACCTCACTTGGGATGAGGTGTGACCTAGAGGTGACTCTAGGACAGAGTATACAATGGGAGGAGCTCGTGGGAAAACGGAAACCCCCCTCAGCTCTGAGCCCTGCTTGTGCCAAGCCTCAGGCCTGAGCACAAGGCTTCTGATTCTCCCAAGGTCACTTGAGCACCTCTGACGTGATGAGCCTCTATGCAGTGCTAATGTTCATTACCCACTTAACTTATCGTCCTGCCTACAACAGGATTGATGACAGCAGCCAGGAGACTGTGGGTTGTAACATTTATGGGGAAGCTGCATAACAGCGAGGCATGAGCTTCTCTCTCCGCTGTAACTGGTATGCTGGCATCTGATGAACCCTATGTTTGGCTGTAGCAGCTGTAGGTGGTGATTTGACTCCTCCTCGCTCATCTGCCTCGTGTACACACTAGCCAGTACTTCAAGTGTGGAAGAGAGTTTGTGACCTGTTAGCAAGGCTCAGGCTGGGTCCTTCTACCTGGACAGAAGGGAAGACACTGGAGACCTAAGCTCTCTGCTTAGCAGCAGCAGTAGTAGTGTGGGAACCTCCAAAGCGTCTCTCCCCTGTTGGTGGTGCGGCCCCTCGAGAACATCTCAAGTGAGCACTCACCTTCATGCGGTCGTACTTGTCATCTACGTCCTGCAGCCAGGAGATGAACTGGCGGGCATTGAAGCGGTCTCGCACAGACTTGTTCTCATCCCCCTGTGGGATCGACAGGATGTTGACCAAAGCTCGAGGAGCCGTGAGGGTGAGACGTTTGTCCATCAGAGAACACTAGGGCAACCTCGTCCTAGCAGCACATTTGAACCATCTGTCTCTGCCCTTGAGTATTCTTAGGTACTGGTGGCCATAGACTTAGCCGTTGCCCCCAAGAGATGGGGCGGTTGATATTTTGCAGGGCTGCATGGGTGGGGGAGCTGAGTGGGAAGCTACTTCCGTGCACAAGATGCTGCGGCCTCCAGTCTACCGCTCTGAGATCACAAAGCCAGCAATGGTGTGCTCTCACTTATTCCTCTTTAGAGGTGCAAAGTAATTTTTCTACTTTGAAAAGCACAGTTGAGAAGTCTGAGGTGGAAACTTGAGAATCTTGTGTGGACTGGGATCAGTTTCCTCACTGGCTCCCTCTGCATGGAGTGTGAGGACCCTCACTTCATTTTATGTTGCCTCACAAAGGGGAAGAACTTGGAGCTGGAATGGACGCATCAAAACAAGACTCTGCTCTGACACGGTTGGCCGATATGCCTGAACGCTAGGGGGCAGGGCAAGTGTGGAAGTTCTGTAATCGTTGGCCAGTGACCCTGTGGCTGATATCCAGTATGGACCAGGAGGGATGAGGATGATGCAGGGATCTCGTCTTTTCCTTCAAAAGCAACTTTTTCAAATTGCTTGAAAAGTATAGGAATTTGTATTTAAGCAAAACTTTCAAACACTTCATTATCTGTATCAGTTTGTTGATGCAGGAGAGTATCTTTTGTGCTAGGCTTGGTGGTACACACCTGTATGTATAATCCAGCACTTAGGAGTGGGAGGCAGAATCAGAGTTCAAGGCTGGCCCAGGCTACACTGAGACTGTCTCTAAAAAGAATACCTGTTGTTAACCTGCACAAAATGGGGAAAGTGTTTGTGTCCCTTTTCCAAGTATAAGATTGTTAATGGACTAAAAAAAGAGTTTACTCCAGGTTTACTCGATTACACTGTACATGGCAAGGCCTCGAGAGTTCGTTTTATCACCAAGGTCTCGACAGCCAGGAGGGAACAGGTTACAAGCAGCTATATGCTCAATAGGGACACGGCCCAGGAGGAAGTCTAACGCTAGGAGATCCCTACAGAGCACAGAGAGACTAGTGTGTAAGAACGACGGCCTGTGTAGGACGGGCTGGCAGAGTCAGGTCAGGGTGGTTATCTGTAGGATACTTGGGGCCTGAAATGATGCAGAGCAGGAGGAAGTGAGAAAGCGCTAAAAAGGCTGCTGGGAGTTTCCTTAGGGAGACAGTGGGGCAGGCATGCAGTTTAAGTACTGGAACACTGCTCTGGCACGTGGTGTAGACTGGCTACATACTTCTAGGCCCCGTGGCTCCAACTGCCCCACATAAAGCCAAACACAATGAGGCTAAGCAGCTTTGCTAGGCCTCTGCAGTTTCATGGGAACACTTGTCCTGTGGCCTCAATGTCTTGTTGCTGCAATTATCACTGGCCCATCATGTCACTAACAGAGCAGCTCTGGTCACCTGTAGCTGACACATCACCCATGCAGCCGGGGAGAGGGAGGGAGTGCTGTTAATCCATGCACAGTAGCCTCAGACAGTCCCGAAAGCTTGAGGGCCTTATCTGTGACATTCCCGTGCCTTCTGAGGTAACCTGGGGCCAGGTCCCCACAACATGCCGTGGACAGGGCAGCTCTGGTCTAGACGCAGAGGCTTGGGTATACGGGACATGTCTTGGGAGGAAATGTGAAAGATGGCACCTACAGCTGCTAGTGTTACTGACCTGACTTTCCAGAGGCATGTTGTAGACCTCGGAGTCCAGGAGCATTGTGCATGCACTGAATGGCACGGCCTGGTTGGCAATGGTCCTGGCTGCCCGGCAATGAACCCGAAGAATCTCTTGCTCGCAGGACACAATCAGCTTCTCCTGAAGAAGGAGAGGAACAGGTAAGCTTAAGATTATTGCCAGCAGGCCCCTTGCCCAAGGCTTCACTTACCCTCTCGATGCTGTGCTGCAGGCGCAGCTTACCCCGTACAGCCTCTTGTTGTTTGAACAGCTCCTTCAGGGGCTCCGCTAGGGAGGGAGGGGGTGCAATCTGCAAATATAAAGGGAGAGGGGTAAGCCACAACAAGCATATTAAAAATGTGGACACGTTCTAGCCTAGCACCCACACCCAGAAACTTGTCGAGAAGTGCCTGTCGGTTACCTGGAAGCAGCATGGGAGAGCTGCACGTAAACCCTACAAGCAATGTCAGGAAAGGCACAGAGCGTCTGGGGCCAGGTGTACACCTATGCCAAAGAGCACTGTGGGAAATGTGAGGATTCTGAGCGTGGACAGGGAGCGTGTAATTGAGGTGTGCATATAGAATCCTGAACCAAGAGGGGGTCGGGGTGGTGTGGGGAGAACTAGACAGCCAACCACGTTAAAAGCAATGGGTAGAACCTACCAGTATCCCTATAGCCCTATGGAAGTGTCTCACAGGTGAGTAAGTAAGTAATACACCACAGACAATGAGGCAGAGGAGAGGCTGGTCTGTGGGGCCTAGCAGAAGTGAGGTTAGTATGGAGTCAGACTTCCACAGCAGACACAGAGATGGAATTGTGTACAGGACCCGAGGCTCGTCAATTCTTTTGTCTCTTATTACTCTCCATCACAGGACGAACATGCAGTGGTGACGGCAGATCAGGGTTGGGGCAGCACGTGCTGCTGCTCCCTGTGAGCCAGAAGAGAAGTGACAACACAGACACACCCACAGACTGGACCTTTCTGGACCACACAGGAAGATGCATCGTTCCAGGTGAAAGACCTGGGCAGCGAGCAACAATGCAGTGACTGGCAGGCAAATCCAGCCGAGATTTGAGAATACAGTCTCTCAGTCTTTCACTGAGGTGAGGTGGGTTACGAAAGGCAGGCAACAGCTCAGCAGGGATTGCCTGAAGAGCAGCCTCAATCCCACTGACTAAGAACTTGACAAAGACTCATGCCCACATGGTAGTGCTCTCACGCAAACATGCCAGGCAAAGATCACCATGCCTTGTAAAGAGTCTTGGGAAGGATCTGAGGCCCCACCCTTAACAGCTCATGTAGACTCAGTGCTTTGGGGTTTGAACTTTTTAGTTATAAACTAAATATTAGGGGCTAGCAAGATGGCTCAGCAGGTAAAGGCATCTGACACCAAACCTACTGACTTGGGTAAAATCCCTGAGATTTACCCACATGGTGGACAGCTGTTCTGGCTCCTCTTTGTGTGTTGAGGCAGGCGTGCGCGAGCACACACATACACACACCCCAAAACTGGGGCAGGGAGTGACCTTACAGTTTCAGCTAAATGTCTGCAGCCTCATCTGTCACATTTTTCAATATGCCTGTCCTCCAGGACTACGTTTCCAGTGGGGCAAGGAGACAAGTCACCCTCAAGGCAGACCAGGCAGGGCCACTATCACAGGCACGAGTACTTAATCCATGAGGAAAGTACACTGAGCGCTCCTTCGGCTTCTGACCTAGTGAAGCAAAGCTAGTCCCAGTCCTGCCTGCTTCACTCAAGGGTGTGTGGGATGCTAAGAGAGACTAGTGGGAAGGCACACAGAGCACGGACACAAGTCATATCACTCTGTTTCAGTAATCAAACCTTTACAAGAGATGATTTACTGACCAGTACTTTAGGGTTTTGGAACGCAGCAGGGCATACGACAAAGCTTGGGTCTGGTCGCTGCAGGTCAGGGCTGCAGGTCAGGGCTGCAGGCAGGGGAAGGTCTGGGACCTGCAGCTGGGATCAAGTACTTATATTCCAAGGTGAACCGCCAAAACGAGCTCCGTCCTCGGTTCCTAGGGCATGTTTTCTGCCTAGGCAGGGGTCAGCGTGGCCACTCCCTTACACTGTAGCATCATGGTGAGTCTCCAAGTCAGAAGAAACACACAAAGGCGCTGGCTACAAAAGCCAGCTGAGTAGAAAAGGAAGCTGCCTGTAGGATTGCTGTGTGTGGCTATGTGAAAAAAAAAAAAGTCCAGTTCTGAGGTGCTGGGGAGAATGTCAGAGACGGCTCTGACGGCCAAGGGGAGGTGCTATGGGAGAGCCCTGCTGCAGGGATGGAGGACTGCAGGGATGGGGGACTGCAGGGATGGAGGACAGCCACCGTCTTAAACTGCCAATGAAGGAGTGGAGGCTGCAGGATGGCAGCGAGACCCTAGAACCATGACAGATGACGGTGGGAATGGAGAGGCAAACAAGGCAGTGGAGACCTTTCACTGTGAACAGAGAGAAGGAAAGGGACCACTGTGGATAGGCTTGGAGGTAGGTGTGTATAGTGAAGGGCTAGCTAGGAACTGGCCCTCACAGAGGACAAGAATGCCAGTGCCTCTTCTGACCCCAAAGCTCTCTGCTCATTACTGCCCTGGTGCCTTGCTGCCTGGTACTTGTGGATACAGTTCGCACGGACTCACCACAGGGATGTGCAGCTTGCTGAGGGGCTTGCCATCCAAGAGGTAGGACCCCGTGTAGGTGACGTACTCAGCATAGCACTGGGGTGCCTGCGGAGTTATGCAGCAGAGGATTTTTCGTTTCTCTTCAATCTTCTTTCTGATTTGAAGGTACTCAAAGTATGGGTTGGACCTGTCACTATGGTAGGGTTCAATGGCATCCAGTTTGATGGCATCCACAATGGCTGCCAGTGTCTGCTGGATAACCTCCCGGGTCTGCTGTGTGGACGTGTTCAGCTGCTGCTGCAGCTGCTGACTAGACCTTTGGAAGCGCCGCTTGCGGGGGTGTTGGGCCTGGGCATCCTCCTCCTCAGAGGCACGACCCTTGGCTCTAGAGGCTGGGGCAGGCACTGAGTCCTTCTCTGTTGCAGGTATGCCCTGCTTGCTCTGGCTTGCCAGCAACTGGGCACGGTTCCTGGTCATGCGCTGAGGAACTTCTTCCACCTTGGGGGCCTTAGGGACCTCGGATGTAGGTTTGGGCTCTGGGTCTGTAGCTTCTGGCTGACCGTTGCCTGGGGGTCCCTCAGCTGCAGGCGCGACACAAGCAACCTCTGCACTGTTCTGTGCCTGTGCCGAGCCATCTGAGGGAGGTCCTTCAGGTGCACAGCAGGGAGCAGCAGAAGCATCTTCAGCCTCAGTCTCTCCATCAGCACCTCCCGGAGGATGCTGCTCAGGGGGACTGGGTGCTGGCACCAAACTGGAGACTGAGGCTTCAGGGGCGCTGCCATCTGCCAGGACCTCTGTTTCCACTGTAGCTTCTAGAACTACATCCAGCTTTGGTTCCTCTGAGGGCTCAGGCTCTGTGGAGAGCTGAGGTGATGCTTCCTGAGGAGGTGGGGCTGGTGGTTCCTCAGCTGCTGGGGCAGGGACATCCCCTCCACTGAGAACCCCTGTGGGGCCTGGAGGGCTCTCCACTGGAGGAACAGGACTGGCCTCTGCAGCTTCTGCCTCAACATCTGAAGCATCTTTGGCCTGGAGAGGAAGCTCGGGCAGTGAGAAGGGCCCCAGGTCGAGGTCGTCCTCAGGGCTGGTAAAGGCTTCATGCCACGTCACTGGTTCCACCTGGTTGAGGGCAGCTATGCTATGACTGCTGTCTAGGAAGCTGCTCTCCAGGGGTCCTAGGGCCTCTACCTGAGCCACAGTAGTAACGCCTGTGGGTTCAGGGGCTGTGTCCAGGGGTGCATCTGGGTGTGACTTGCAGTTGCTGAAAAATGACTCCAGCCTAGTAGGAGCAGCATAAGGAGCAGCCCCTTCTGGGGCAGAGATGGCCACTGGGACTGCTCCTGTCCCACCATCTTTGACTTCTTCTAGGGCTGGCTCAGGGGCCGGCAAAGGGTAAGATCCTGGAGAGACAGGGTATGTGGGTTCTGCAGCACTGAAGGGTCCTGGGTTGGTGGAATGGAGGGATTCTCCAGGGCAGAAATGTTTTGGGGATTCTGCAAACCTCTGTGGAGACTTTAGCATAAGCTCAGAGCTGACAGGCCAGCTGACAGGGTTTTCAGAGGCACTAGCAATAAGGGTGGAGGACAGAGCCTGTTCAGCAGCAGTGTGTGTCCACTCAACAGGCTCCTCAGTAATGACTGTGTTGAAGGGGCCCTCATCCAGGGGCTCCAGATAGCTGGGCTCTGGGGGAAGGATGGCAGCTGTGGCCTGCTGGTCCTCTGTGGCATCCAGAGGTAGGCCTAGATCTGGGGGCAGGGCCCCTTCGATGGCTGGGGTCAACAGTTCACCTCTAGGGGAAGGGGAAGACTTTGGTGGTAGGTTGGAGAAGACGCTGTCTGTGGGTGGTGTGGCACTGACCACAGCTGTTGGCGGACAGTGCAGAGTGTCTACCTTGGGTGAGGGGATCCCATAGTCTGGGGAGTAGTATCCAGGGGACAGGCAGGCAAACTTTTCTACAGGAACAGGTGGCAGAGGAGCTTTTTCTTCCAGCAAGTGCTGTACTGGGGAATCGAAACTCGAGGGTGCAGGGACACTCTGTTGCCTGAACAGCTTGTCCCCAACAGTGAACTCTTCCTCGGGTGTCCTCCTGATGTCCACAGATATCGAGCGATAAAGGTTTGTGGAGATAGGCCTGGTGGGTGTCTGGCCTGCATTTTCTGAAACAACACTCGAAGCCACAGAGAACCTGTCAAAAAAGGGCGGAGAGCAGGCACTGGTGGACGTGGTGGAGACAGGCATCGAGTGCTGGGAGTCCGTGCAGTCGAACACCAGGTCAGGGTAGTCATCAGCACTGCAGGATGGGGTTCTGGGTGTGTGCATCACCTCTTCATAGCTAGGGCATGATACTACTGAGGTGGGTGTGGGCACCCCGGTGGGTCGGCCCTGCTCAGTGCGGGGTGAAGCAGGCAGAACCTCCTTCAAGGGCTGTCCAGCCAGCCAGTCTTTGGACTCTGTACCTGGTCCAGAGTGTGGCTTGCTCTCACCAGTGGGCAGCACGGGAGCTGGCTCCTTGACCTTTTTCTCCAGCCCCAGAGCTTTCTTGGAAGCAAAGTCTAGACTCTTCTTGCGCCCGTCATCTGTGGGCTTCTTCTCTTTGAGCTTGGGGTCTCCAGACCTATGCCGCATCTTTTCCATCTGCTTCATGCGTTCCTTGTGTCGCTTGTGCCGCTCCTCAATCTCAAGATCTTTCTGGGACAGCATCCTCTCAAAACTTGTCATCATGAGGTCGCCATCGCCCAGGAGCTTCTCCCGGGGTCTGCTGTCTTTCTTGCTCGAGTCTCTGGAGGGCAGGAGCTTGTCGTTCCCGTTGCTCATCTTCACCGACTCGCCCTTCTCTCGTTCTGTGTTCTCCTTGAATTTCTCCTTCAGCTTGGTCTCAGTGAGCTTCAGGTTTTCGTCTCTGGACTTCTCCTTGAAGGAGTTGGGAGGGTTGTCCTTGTCTTTGGCGGCAGGCTTTGGCTCATCCTTGTGATGTCTTAGGAAGCCATCTGTATGCTTGTCCCTGTGTCTCTCCTTTTCTTCCCTCCATTTCTCCCTGTGCTTCTCTCTCCTCTTCTTCTCTTTAAGGGTGCTGATGGTGCTCGACCCATACGGCTTTAATTCCTTTTCTATTTTCTTGGCAGGCTCTCTTTCAGAATCATTTCTGTCTTTCTTTTCTGAAGAGAACAATTCAATAGCCTTATCTAGCTCCTCTTCCATGTCAGCTTTGGTGGAGTAGGAAACTCCGGAAGCCTCGGCATCTAGGAATTCTTTCTCATACTGGCTGGCTTCCTTCCTGACGCTGCTGATGCCATCCTTGTAGTCTTCGCTCTTCTCCTTCTTTTCTGCCTTTTCTTTCTTGGCTCTCTCACGCTCATGGCTTTTCTTAGAGGAAGATGAGGAATGCCGGTGCCTCTCCTTCTCCCTCAGTTTCTCTGAGAGGCAGGTACTCTCCCTGGCCTTGTCCTCTGGTGGGGGCTCAGAGAAGGACACTTCCAGGAGCGTGCTCAGGCTGGGTTCCTGACCATGGTCAGCAAAGCTGTCAGAGGAGACCTCGCTGCTCTTGTCATTGGAGTCTTCCCGGTAGTCCTGCAGAGCCTCTTCCTCCAACTTCTCCAGCAGGCTCTTTTCCACATCAGGGCCCCGTGAAGACTTCCTCTCCCGGGAGTGCTCCTTCTCTGGCTTCTCCTTGTGTTTACTCTTTGTCTTGTCTTCAACAAAGTGCTTCTTTTCTACCTTTTCAGGGAGCTTCTGCTTATTTTTCTTTTCTTGGGCAGAGTCAACAGAGGCTCTGTCTTTCCTGTCCTTGTATTTCTCTGCACACTCTTTATCTTTCTTTTCCTTGTGCTTCTCAAAGATCTTCTCTTTCTTGTCCTTCCCCCCTTCCACAGCTCCTCTGTCTTTCTTCTTTTCCTTGGGCTCTTTGTCTCTCGGCTTTTCTGTGTGCTGCCTGTCAGAAGAGGACTTTCTGTGCCTATCTGAGGGGTGTTCTCGTCCATCTTCCTTCTCCTGGAGGCTCTCAGCTCGCTGTGTGTCGCTGGCTTCTCCAACCTTGAAGCTGCTGGCCACGCACTCCTCTTTCTCATCCTCACTCTCGTCTGTGAATATGTCTGCCATGTACCAGCTCTTTTCCTTTCCCTTCCTGTCGTCCTTTCTCTCCGAAAAGTCTTCTGAGATGATACTAGAGAATACCTTCTCTTTCTTCTCTCTCAATTGGTCAAAGGATGTTTTTCTGTCTTTGCTGTGTATATCTTTATGCTTTTCCTTGATATCTTTCTTCTCTTTAAAGCACTTTTCAAATTCTTTGTCTTTCTGACACTTCTCGAGAATAGACTTCTCGCTTCTATCTCTCTCACTGGACTTATCTTTGTACTTTTCTGCCCTGCCCTTTTCCTTCCTCTCCTTTTCTAGGGCATCCTTTTTCTCTTTTTCCCGAGCTGCATGGGGCCGTTCCCAGGGCTCCAGGTTCTTGGAGAAGTCACAGTCTACCTTGTCTTTGAAGGTGCTCTCACACCCACACTCCTTTAGGTCCTCCCTGTGCACTTCTTCAGACCGAGTCCGCCCATCCCTCCGCTCCCGGGAGCCCTCTAGGGTATCCCTCCTGTCCCGGCCCCCTTCTGCAGACTCTCGCCTTTTCTTGTCTTTCTCAGAGAGATAGCTGGGGATGCTTTTCTGCTTTTCCGTTTGGTCTCTCCTCTTCTCAGAAGTCTTGTCTAGACAGTCCCTGTCTCTCTTTCGGAAGAAAGAGTCTCTGAAATCTCGCTTCTCCCGAGTTCTGTTGTCACGCTTCTTTTCCTTACTGTCTTCTTTGACAGTTTCCAGGATAAGTTTGGCCACCGAGTCACTCTTGATGTCTCTATAGTCTGTCACTGAGTCCCAGCTGTCCTCTCCCTTGAAATCAAAAGAAGAATCAGACAGGTCAGAAAACCACCTCTCTTGTTGGTCATCAGAGAGGCTGAACTTGGTGTCCTCGTGATCCAAAAACTGACTTTTGTTACAATAGTCATCAAAAGCAGTGTCTTCCCTGTACAGCTTTTCCTTTTTGAGTTTCTCTTTGTCCTCTCTGAAGGCCTTCTCCTTCTCCTTGGAAGCCTTGTCCTCTTTGATGTCATTCTTCTTCTCTAGCTTGGAAGGTCGGTCTTTGGATTTCTTCTTCCTTTCTTCTTTGTACAGTCTCAGTTTTTCTTCCTTCGGAGACCTCTCCTTTGTGGACCTCTCCCTCTCTGCTTTACTGGAGCGGTCTTTGTCTTCCCGAAAAGCTCTGCTGATGTCTTTGTTCGCATCCTTGATCCTCTTCAGGACCTTCTCGTCCTTGAAGAGCCACTCTTTATCCTCCGACTTCATCTTACCAAGTTTATCCTCTTTTTTAAAGTGGTCTCTGTCGTGTTTCATTACCTTCATCTTATTTTCAGAGGAAAGGTCATTCTCTAAAAGGATGGGTTTATCTGGCTTTTGCTTGGAGTCCTCATATTCGTAGGTAAAGCTTTTCAGTTTAAGTTCTTGGCTGACAGAACATTGTCCTTTTTCCTTATTTTTGTGTTTGTGTTTCGTTTTGTGTTTTTTGACTACCTTCCCTTCTTTGTCCAGCTTGGGGACAGCTCCATCTGTACAGGGGTGGAAGGTGCCTCTCTTCTCTGGTGCCATGCTCTGCAGACCTCCCCTTTTACGGTGTTCCTGCTTCCTCCTCGTAGGCTTCAGAGATTCTACACTGGAGCCCTCGGAGGAGGAGTCAGACTCACTGGTCAGTCCTGTCCTTGAGGAGTCTGACAAAGAACTCACCTCAGACCAGGCAGGGGAGGACATGCCTTTCCAGCTGTCAGTGCGCCAGTGCTTCGTGTGCTGGTCAGCGTGGCCGGAGCTGTGTCTCTGAGCCACGGCACTACCATGAGACGAGGTGGAGGAGGCAGACAGTGAGCTGAACAGGGAAGGGTCCTTCAGCACCAGCGGAGACCCCTTGAGGCAGCTTGAGCTCCCTACAGAGTCCCCATCATCCTCGTCGCTCTCTGAGGACTCACTTTCTGACCCAGAGGAACAGAACTTGTCACTCCTCTTTCCAAACCGAACTTCTTTCCCTTTCGTTTCTTTCTTTCGCTTCTTTTTCAATTTATTTTTTTCTTTTTGCTGCCTAGAACTAGAAGACTCTCGTCCCTTACTGCTAGGTAGCATTGTGTGTGCTGACAACCTCAGCTTCTCTCCGGCCCCTATGGAAACACTCATGTCCTCCTCATCTGACGTGTCTGACAGGATACGGTGGGCTGCCTTCTTTGGTGCAAGCGTGTTGTTTTTTGAGTAACTCTTCACTTCCATCTTGGGGATTGAAATGAAGCTGTTCGACTTGGCTTCTTTCCTATAGTCCTTCTTTAGCAAGTGCTTGTCATCCACGGGTGGGACCCGGTCCTGCTCGTCATCCTCATCAAACTCATACTCGTCCTTGACAGGGGTCACAGTTTTCTGGGGCTCTGGGTTCTTAGCCTTCAGCTTGAGGCCTTTCTCAAACTCAGAGTCTGTGTTATTGCCATCGACGGAGCTGGAAGGTGCAAATGATGGGGCATCCTCTTCTTCAGAGCTCTCTGTTGGGAACAGGAAGGGAGATGTCAGGCAGGCCAGCATCATTTTCCTACCATCAGTTAAAGATGCTCTGCACCTGTGGTGTGAACAGGCCTCCCCCAGGCATGGGTGCCCAGGAGGGGAAGCTGGACGGCTCTGCTTCGGAAGAAGGAAGCACTTTACTTTAGTCACATCTGAGGCCAACCACAGGCAGAAGGAACCCACAGGGCTTTGTGAGAGACAAGGCTGGTATCTCAGCAGACAGAGTACAGGCATCTTGGCAGTGAGGTACCCTGGCAGAACTCCTGTATCTGGAAGTTCCTGAAGGCGCCAGCCACCTGAGGAGGCTTGTAGACCCTGTGTTGCAATCTGCAGGGGAATACCATATGTAGACACTGCATGGTGCTCTCTCAGCAGGCAGTACAAAGCCCCGCCCACCCACTACAGCATCCGCTGGCCTGGCTTACCCGTTGAGCTCTCCTCACTGGAAGTGTATGTGCCTTTGCCTAGCAGGAGATTCACCATCGTCGGGGAGCTGGCTACTTTCAACGGTGTCTCGCCTTTTCTGTTGCTCTGCTGAGGATTCCCACCATACCGTAACAACAACTTCACCACCTACAAAATACGAGGAATGGCATTAACAGACTGTCGGAAAAATGCTGTTACCCTGTCATGCCTGGAGAAGACACAGGCTAGGACATTCTAACCCCTGGTGTGGGGTGCTGTGTGCAGAGCCGTAAGTGTTCTTTTGTGAGAGGTTGCACAGGGTGGGTGGGGTTCCCTCCAAAATTGAGTCATGTCCAGTTCTCTCCTGTTCTTGCCGGGCTATCTCTTCCCCAATCTTCTTTCTCACAGAGCTCCCCTTCCCAAGAGAGAGCTGGTCAGCAGCAGGTCCCAAAGGTGGGTACATAGGGACTGGGGGGGAATAGGAAATAGAGAAAACAAAGACCACATTTCTGTAAGCTGCTTTATTTATTTTCATTTACATTAGAAAATAAGATAACTCCTTCCTTGCTTGATTTTACATGCATAAATATGGTTACATGGGTGACAGAAACATTCAAGGTGACATTTCAACAGCTCTATTCAGCCATTTATCAGCATATTCCTGAAACAGTAACTCACTCTACGCCAGTGCAAATATCCAGTTTCAATCTAGCCTCAACTTCAGTTCAAGCTTTAATACACACTCTTGTCACTCACAGACTGGTTCCAGTTCAAGGTAGCATCACCATGGAGAGTTTTTAACGCTTGTGAGTTCTCTACTGCTGCTGTAACAAACCATAGCCTGTCTTACAGTGGAAGGAATCAGTCTCACTTGCTTGGCTTACATCAAGGCGCAGAGAAAGCTGGCTTGTTCCTTCAGTGTGTGGGTTGTTGTCAGAATTTGGTTCCTGCAGTGCTGGGACCAAAACCCTATTTTTCCTGCTGTCTGTCATGGCCAGCAATGTCGGCCATGTTCCTAACGGGCCTATTGTCTTCTGTCTCCTCCTTCCATTCAGGAAGACAGGCTTTCAGAAGCTGCCTTTAGGACTACACTCCTGAGAGGCCACTGTTCTTTTGCTGAGCTTACAGCTTATAGTTTGTGACATTTTACATAATTAAAGAAAAAGTTAAAACTCATGGATATAAGAAGATTCAGACAGTGGCTCTTCCCTTCCAGTTTTACCACTGGCCAGTTCACAGCAGCCTTACCCACCTTCCATGGGGTGGTTTTACAAGTCTCTCCTCGGATACTGCATCAAACCCTTCCAGTACGTTTTTCTAAAGGGCTCTTAAAAAACTAGCAAGCAAATGAACCATCATGTCATTATCTCAATATTAAATCTAAAAGTTTAATATATGCACGTATATATACCATTTTTTTTTTCATTCAATGATTCACTGTGTACTGCTGGGTTCTTTATCTGTAGGTTCTGGCAGCTTTCAGGCAAGAGCTGCTTTTCATCACTATTAACTTGGACAGATGTTATCATCCTCACCATGCTCACTGATCTGTTTGTAGCTAGAACCCCCTCAAAAATGAATCCACTTCTACAACCCATTCTCTTACAGGAAGAGGTATGTCTGGCATATCTTAGGGGTTTCCTTTCCTGCTGTGGACCTACAGGAAGTCCTGACCCACCCACAACAGTAATCTAATTTTGACTACAATTCCCTATGCTGACTCTCCTCTCCCCTAGACTCTGGACTGATCTTCTGGATAAGATCAGTAGCCGTGAGAACAGGGACACAGTAGCAACTCATACAGCTGTCCATCCAGCCAGACAAGACAGCGGGACTGGCACTGTACATTTACTATAGTGCTGTTTGCTAGTCATCAAAATGGAGAGGTATCTGGGTACTAGCCTAGGGCAGAAGGAACAGCTAGGCCTTAAGGCTGGAAAGAGGATGGGGGAGTTGAGGGGGGGGGGCAACAGGGGACAGCAACGATGACAACACAAAACTCACTTCCCAGTATTAGAAACTGAAAACTAGCTAGGACAGAGAGCCATGAAGCTGAAGACAGTCCGGAGGTTAAGGACAGAGCAGCCACTGGAGGGCTGCAGGGAGATGCCAACCTTGTAGTGCCCGTTGTTGGCGGCATCGTGCAAAGGCGTGTCGTCATCCAGGCCCTTAGTGTTCACCTCTGCCCCAGCGGCTAACAGCTGCTTGGCGATGTCATAATAGCCCCGGTTACACGCCTCATGCAGCGCAGTCCAGCCTGAAAACAGAAACTTGGGGTATTTGTTATGTAATCCCTGAAAGCATCACTCCTGCCTAAATTGTGGTTGTGGTGAATGACAACGGGTGAGTGTGTGCTGCTCTTCCCTAAGGAGTGGCCATCTGGGCAAGGAGGCTACACCCAGAGCATACGTCTTAGTTTTTTGTTGAATTGTGGTGTCTTGCATACTGAGCACCTAGCCTCCTACAACAGATTTGTAACTTGTGGAAGCAACTCTACATGGGCAGAAAATTTGTGCACTAACCGTCAGAAAATGAAAACTGTTTTACATGAACCTTAAGCAGGGAAATCTTAAGGTTCAGCACAAAGTTGAGTTTGACTGACTCCTCTCCCCTTCTCTGAGATAAAATCCGTACATGTATCTGGTCATATATATCCCCAGCCATTCTGTGTTGTGAACACAGTTCCCTACTGTGTTGCATCACGGTCGGTCGGGGAGCACAGTAAAAAGCCCTGCCCTATACATCTGGGGTGGAGCCTCCACTTATCCCTAGACCAACCTCTGTAGGACAGCAAGTGAGCTCAGTCTGCGGCAGAGTGGCCTCTGCTGACACATTTTAAATCTCCAGTGCAAGACCTCCTGGGCTTGTGGTAGACACACAGAAGGGAAACTTGCAAGCCCCTCCTGATTTAGTGGCCAGATCACACTGTGTGGCTGTGCTGGCAGCCACAGAACCAATGATTCTCCACAAACACACTTCTTCCCATGTTCTGGGGCCAAGGGCAAGGGGCCCACGCTCAGAGCTCAGCATCAGGAGGTCAGAGCCCTGGCAGGCAGCCGGCTGCTCAGGAGCATGGAAGCCTTACCTGCAAAGTCCTTGACGTTGACATCGGCGCCCTCACTGATAAGCTCCTTGATGCGCCGGGCGTCCCCGCGGATGGCTGCTCGGTGCAGGCGGGTCTCTCCACGTTCATTTCTCTTGTTCACCTTATCTTTGGTTTTTGAGGCAGAGTTGGGGGTCCCCTTCTGACACACTGTAGACTGGGAAGGGTGCTTTGGTGTTGTGTCTACTGCAGGCCAAGGAGGAAACAGGCAGGGCGTTACCAGAAGGCAGCTTTGTTTCACAGCAACCTCAAGACCCACCATGTTCATTATGGAAAGGGGATCCACATAGGACCCACTGGCAAGCATAGCCACTCCCTCCCTGTACAAGGAAGCAACCACTCAAGTACCTTCCGCTCACCTGGACTATTTGCAGACTCCTCAGCAGTCATCTGCATGAGCAGAGCCACTTGCTGACGCTCAGAGAGCGGGTATCCAGCTCGGATCCCAGACAGCCCCATGCCGAACAACAGCCCGGACTTTCGGGCAACAGGTTCCTTCTTGATCCTCTTCCGCTCAGGACCCTGCTTCTCTGTGTGGCAGGTGAGGGAGAAAGGGAGGGGAGACTTCATGCCCAATCCTCGAAGCCAAAGTTTTAATTAGCGTTACAGAGCCCCTTCATTCCACCCAACAGCTTCCAGAGCAACAAGGCAGGCCTATGAGGGGGTGACCGTGCTGGGAGCACTGACGTCACCCCACTCTGTGAGAGACACAATGTCATACCCTGTTGTCAGCCCATCAGGTAAGTCTTGGTCTCACCAACCACCTGCTCCCTACAGGCGCCACACACGAAGGCAGTAGGATGGTTCAACACCACTGACCTGGCCCACATGGGACAGGCTGCTATTGTTAACATGTGTCTGCAGTCCTTCCCAGCCCTCCTCCAAACAAACAGTGCACATATAAAATGGCAGACACAGTTTAATATATGTAAATAAATCAAGGCCAACTTGTCAGTACTGTACCTTTCTTCTTGCTTCTAGGAACCTCCATTTCATGCCATGGTGCTTCGAGGACCGTACCAGCCTTGCAGTACCACAACATGGACTGAGCTGGAGGCATCTAAAGGCATCAACACAGAGCACTAACAAGAACGATGTAACAGCTCAGCTGTTCCATCTTAACCGCTCCTAACAAGCAGGCCCTGGGCGCCTCTGACCGGTGACAAGAGACTGTGGCGCTGCTCTAAGAGGTGGGATGCAGAGAACGACCCCAGAGTCCATGACTTGGGAACACAGAGGCTCTCACTTTGAATCCTGCCTTCTTAAAAACTAAATTTGTGGCTTGGTGACTTAGAAGATTTTTTTAATGTTACAAGCCTGTAGGCAGCGACATGCACCTGTTTAACAATTCATGGTCAAACTCTCCTAAACACTTTAGACCACCACCAGCTAGTAGTTTTAAATAAGCCATGGTATAGAGATACGAGAAAATAAAAAAGTATTATATGAGAACAAAGTTTCAGAAAACCATGCCACCCTCAAAAGACTACAACAATATGACATACTCCTGCCGATGGCATTTGCGAGCTACTTACACTAACGATTCCAAAAGAGAAAAGCAAGCCGTCAGCTTTGCTTCTTTGCAGTATGTGGTTGGTACAGTGTAGGTTAGTGTGTCTTCACACCAGAAAGCACACTTTGTTTTTTAAAGTTTGGCACAATAATATTAAGTCTCAAATGAACCCACCAAACCTGCCAACTAAGTGAAAGGTGGTATTTTTGTTTTGTTTGTTTACAACAGGGTCTCATATAGCTCAGTCTATAATGCCCCATTCTCCAGCCTCTGACTCCACAGGGGCCAGCGTTACCAATTTTGTTTTTGTTTTTGTTTGCGAAAGTCTTACAGGCTAACTTTGAACTAAAGAGATCAGCCTGCCTCTGCCTCCCGAGAGTAAAGGAGCTTGCTGCCATGCCTGGCCACATACTTAGTATGACTGGCACATGTACTCTTTAGCAGGCTGAAGGCTCAAGACTGAGACACTAGCATCCTGTCTTGGCTTTTCCTTGTCCTGCAGAGCAGATGCTGCCAACCAGCCATCCCCACAGCCCACTGACTGCTGCCTCTTGCTCACCCAGGGAGGACTTTGCCTGCTCCTATAAGATGCTCAGGGACAGGCAACCCCACTAAACACCGTTCTGCTCTCCTCCACTGAAGAACCTGGTTCTCGAACCCAGCAACTTCTCATACAGTAGAACAAACAGCTAAACATCAGCAGACTTAGTTGTCTAAACGGAGTGGGGTGGGAATGGTTCTGACATGTGCGTTCCTCAAGTCTCTTCACTGCAAATTTAACTTTTCCTAAGCACATGTAACAACTGGCACCCACAACTGTCCCCAGCCTCAAAGTCCAGTAACCCTGAGTGCTTACCCAAACTGTAAGTATCAGACTTCTGGGTAAAAGATGGACACTAAAGAAGCCCTCAAAGGACACTGAAAGTTCTCTGTCCAAAAACACCTGAGCTACCTGACATGAACATAGGTGCCCATCAGATGCTGAAAAGCCAGGCAGTCTAGAGGGTGACCCAGATCTGTGACACCCACTGTCACAGATACATACTATGTACTGTTGGGAGTCCTTAGCCCTCAGAATCATTAGTTCCTGCAGAAAACCAGACTTCTGGCATTTTATACTAACTTCTGTTTCCATCATCCAAATGGAAGGAAAGCAGACTTCATGTGAATTCCAAACGGTGTCTGCTACACTGCTAAGTAGAACACCGACAGCTCCAAGGTGACATTCCGTCTATGACCCAGTTGAATGAGTGGCAGGTAGGGTCACAAGTATGCCGGAACCCACAGGAGGGCAGCGGGGAGGGCTGTCCAACCGTACCCAATCGTCCCCTTAAACCTGTGCTGCTTGGTACTTTGAGATAAGACAGTTGTGTTTTATCACTCAGTTGGAAAGCACCAGGCCTGGATGGATCACCTATTGACCTTCCCTGGCACTGCTGAGGTGGCTTGCAGGACAGTGGACCCAGCTCCGGCAGCCTATTTTAACTGACTTCTGCCATTGCATCCATTGAAGGAAAGGCAGTAAGGACAGAGTATGCTTCCCCAGGAACAGATTGCTTGATTGAAAAGGGCAACAAACCCAGCTCCTCACTGCTGGGGTGGTAGAGGCCTATGATTTTACCAATGCTGTTCAATGTCCATCTGCTGGTGCTACATCCTCAGCAAAGGCTCCTACCGATCCTTATGCTTCTTGCTTATAGCTCACTGCATGAGCTCTCCTGTGCCTACCTCCTCTCCCTGTAGCTCTAACCATTACCCTTCCTCTCTTCTCTCATCTCTTTCATATTTTCTGTTTCAATCATGTCTCAGTTCAGGAGCTGTCTGTCAGTGTCTGTGTGTGCAGGTGTATATCAGAGTATGCCAAAGGTCAACCCTGGGTGTCTTTTCTCAGGCATCTGCATCTTTATCTTTTTCACTGGGGGCAGGCGGATATCGGGGCTAGCCAGTGAGTTCCAGATATCCACTTGTCTCTACTTTTCCAGCTCTGGGATTACACACACGTGCCACCACAACCTATAACCCGGCCCTTGCACATGGGCTCTGGGGATTGAATTCATTTCCTTGGACTTGTTTAGTAAGTATTTTATCAGTGATTCTTTTTATTTTGTTTTTAAATGTTATGTCTAATAAACTATGTAGTCTGGCCACTGAATTTTTAATTTTACTGATAATTTCCACTTCCAAATGTACTGTTTGATACTTAGTTTTTAATTTCTTGCCCGATCTCAACTCTTTGTCCTAGTTCATTTTACTAGTTTTCATTTTGTCCGTATCAGAGGTGTTCTAAGGCCATCCCTTGCAGAACTTTTTGGAACCTGTAGTCTGTAATCCTGACAAACAGGGGCCAGAAACCTATGGTCCTGCCAGTGTATATGGAAACACAGATCCAACCCTATTAGGGGAAGAACAGGTTTCAGGGCAGCCTTCTGAATTTCTTTAGAATCTACCAGCAAATCCTGGTGTCTTTCAATAGAGACCGCCTTCTTTGATAGACAAATGTGTTCTAAAGACACGTCCCTTTTGTGGGGACAGACATTCTACAGTAACCTGAAGACTAACTCAGGGGCCTGGCACCTCACTGAGACAATGCACTTAAATGTTCATGTCATAGCTCTTAGCTTTTTCTAATTCTAGGTTTTTTTCAACAAGATAACCTTTTTAGAGTATAGACTACATCTAATCACTGAAAGTGTAACTCTTATGGGCCTTCAGAATCCAGAAGCAAGTCTAGTCTTGATTATACTCTGTAGAGGAACACCTTTCATGGTGAGATCTATAAATAGCAGTAAATTCCTTGCAGGTGCCAATGAAACTCTCCAGGGAACAGTTTCCCAGCAATCCTACCAGGAAGAAGAAGGTACAGTGAACTCCTTAACACAGCTTTTGTTTTACATATCCTAAAACAACAAAAACAAAACACTCACCACCCTTCCCAACCAAGTATCTGACCACGTCTAGAATCTAGAGTAATTCAGCTTCAATATTTCTGGTCACAAAGTCCCAATTGTGGAAAAGACACACACTAGGTCATCAGTTGCAAAAAGGACTTCCAACAACCTTACCTAAGCCCCGGGTTCCAATTCAAGTACAGCAGGGAGAGGGTTCAACAGTGTTCTCAGCAGCCCAGCCTGCAGTACATCCTCACTGAGTAACAGTGGTCATTGCTAACTGCACTCCTGACTTACTGATGTAGAAGCAGAAAGCCTGTGCTAAGTGATCCTCTCAGCTATGCACTGTGCCCACCCCCATCCTCACAGTGGAGTCGTCTTCTAGTTCTTGTTCCTCCTCCTGAGAAATGAACTAGTCACCTGTAGCATGGCAGTGAGGCCAGACTCAAACAATGACTTGGCTTCTATGATCTTCTATGATCGTTTTCCCAAGTTCTAACAGAGCATAGCATTGGTCCTCACTGCACTCTGCTCTTCCAGAACCATATGACACAGGCTCACTTGCTGCTGCCTAGTTCAGCAGAACATGAGTGACACTAGCATAAAGATCTAGACAACAAGACAGGCAGCACAAGTCCATAAGCTGCTACTTACTCTCACTTTACACAATGCATGCTGAAGACTGAAAAAATACTGTAAGTCTGGACATGCATGAAGGTGTGACCAACATCCTGCTGGGATGGACCCCAGACACTGGCGGTTGGGAACAGAAGCTCCTCCTAATACTGAGGGTCTGCATTTCGCAGTTCAGATATGACTGATGGGAAGGCTGAGGCAGAAGTAGCACAGGCTAGGGCTTGTACCTGTCCATGTAGAGCTGGGACCACACTGCCCGGCTCCTGTTCTAACCTCCCACTCCTCTTACCTACCTCAGGGCGCTCTGCTGTGTTCTGACCCCAACATCTTTCACATTGGCTGATTTGGATGTCTCATTACTATAAATGCTAAACAATAGTCCTGAGCCTTGCTATCAAGTAGACAGATGTATTTGCCCACCAGAGCAACTGTGTCTGAATTTTGGAAAATACAGAATTTGGAACCGAAATTACTTTCTTTTGTCATCTGAGCGAAAAAAAAAAATGGACAGAACAAATGGCTGAGAAATACGTCAGACTTACTACCCACTCTCAAGTACGTAAGGCATCTTATTTGGGTCTGTTTCTTATTTGTTTCTTCACACTGCATGCTAGGCTGTGGCTGCTGGTCTGTAGGCCATGGCTGAGGTGGCCAGGCCACAAGCCACCTCTCTCACAATACTTCCCCGACACACCCCTACCTAGCCAGTAAGGTAGACAGACAGGATGCAGACTCTACATCCTCATGTGCCATGGGCTAGCAGATGCCGCCACGCAGCCCACAGTTACGCCTCGAACACGCACTCACTACTTCTTACCCCAGCACTCCCAGCTCCATACATCCCACACAGCCAATGGGAAGACACCTAGACACCTCTTTATCACAGACAAACTGAGGACTTAACCAAATACGTAAGATCCCTGAGCTGATGTGCGGTGCAGTGAAGAAGCTTGCTCAACGGCCAAGCAATGTAAGAAAGCCTTAGTTCTCTCTCTTTCAAAGAAGCACCAGTTTCTGGGAACAGCTCCAATCTTCTTTGACTAGGACATGTGCGATGGGGCAGGTGGGTTCTGTGAGCCCTAGAATGGTAGGTAGGGGTAATTTACAGATGTTTAAATTAGTGGAAAAATTTCCAATATAAAATAGAGGCAGAATAGTATTTGAAGCAAATCACATAATACTATAATGAAGGGTTTTTTTCTTTTTATGTAGCTCTAGATGGCCAGCAACTCTTAGACTACCTGATTCCCAAGCACCAGGATCAAAGGTGAGACAACAGCAGGCCACACGAGCATTCTGGTGCTAGAACTCTACACTGAGACCACACTGAGAGTAGGAGGAAGGTGATCTGTGTGGTCTGGAAGGGAGTGGGGGTGGCCTTAGGGTATGAGACGAGAGCACCGGCTCTGGGCTGC